AAATTTTATGTATTTGTGTATTTAGATATTGCCAGTGTGCTTATTTTCATAAGTCTAAGCAATTAATATTGAATACATCTATTTTATTCATTGAGAAAATATAAATTTTCTCATACCTCTAAGATTTATTGTTTCTCTTTGCTGTTCACATCTAGTTGAACTGTGAACCTCATAAGAAGTCTTTGTGTTTCCAAGCATGCTCTCCTCTTCCAGCTGATGTAGTTTTTAATAATGACCAAACCATTCATACTCTTAGGAGTAGGTCTTCAAAGTCACTCCTGTTCAGAACCCCCAGTAATGTTGCTGACAGTGATACATAAGCACCGTGGGAGAAAAGAACCCTGAGGTATAAAGCATTGGTATCTCATAACCCTAACAGGGTGACACATTCAATACCTAAATATAATTTCAGTGAGAATGGAATAGAAGCCAACTTTTTGGAAATGGGGAATTTTAGGTCCTTATGTCATATTCTCCCCTTTTTGATCTTCTCCCTGCCCTGTCTAGCTTGCACATTGTCTTTAAGTTTTGTGAGACAGCTTTTAAAAAATGTTTTTTTTTAATTTCACATGTTGCTTTAACCAGGAAATTTCAAAAAACTTAAAACTGAAATAAATACTTAAAATTATAGAAAAAAATGGGGAGGGGTTGCTTGTTTTTGTTTTGAGTTGTCTTTTTGGATAAATATTGGGAATATTTACAGTATTCTGTAATTACGTCACCTGTGTTGTATGAGGGGACACCAGGATAACTTTGGTACGTAAGTTGACTCTCATCTAAGTATGTTAGTGTATTTGAACAATTATTTGAAGCACAACTAGAAATTAGTGGTGGTACTTCCAAAAGCATTTTGATATTATAAGTGTTACTTTAAGTTTACCAACAGAAAAGTTCAGTAGTATCTTGCATTATAAAAGTAATTTATCATGATTCTGCATAATTGTATTAAAATGTGCTTTGTTTTGTGGTGAAAATAATATTGTGGCAACAATTTTGAGGAATCTTTTAAGCTGATATAGAGGAGATAGCCAAACTTTGGCTAGACTTTTCCTAGAATTTTGAAATAAGAAAGAAAATAAATATTACTTTTCAGTTACTTTAGTCTTGAGGAAGAATAGTTATATGAATTTTAAGAGTCTTAATAAATGTTGGGATCTATTCTTTTTCTAAAACTCTTGGGTTTTAGAACTCAATACTCTTGCATTGTGCTTTTTTTCTCAAAATAATGTAATTTTTATGGAAAAACTCAATTAATGGAATCTTTTATTTATATTCCTTAACCAACCTACCAACCTTCCTTCCTTCCTATTTCTTTTCTTTTTTTCTTTAGAGGCAAGAAGTTTCCTTAATAGTATAGTTTCTACAGAGCTTTCTTACTTATTTTTCTAATAATGGATATTACAGTGAAATGAAGTTTAAATGCTCTATGAGCAAAATTCTGTTAAACAACCTG